AAAAAAAAAAAGTAGAAATTTTAAATATCGCAGGTTTATTTGCTTGGATAAGCACCAACTAAAGTTACAATTGTATTAACGGTTACATAAAGTTGTTTTTGCATCAAACATTTCAAGAACAAACCCATAGCAATAAAGAGAGAAAAAACGATTTTAGAAATTAATTATGAAAAAAAAATTTTTGCTCTTTTCTGTTTCATTAAATTTATTGACCTTAAACTGACTCAGAAAAAAGAGAACAGTCTCAGGTTTATGGAACAATCAATTAGAGATGTTCTGTAGACCAAAATTTTACAATTTGAGAAGTAAAAATGTTCTTTTAGATTATAGAAATCTGCCCGTTTTTGTTTTCAAATTTAACATAACATAATTCTACCTCAGTTTAGAATTATTAGTAAAAATAATAACTGTAAAAATTAATAGAACAATGTTATCGATGCCAGCACAGCTTCAATATGTCACTTATTTGAATATCGGCAACTTTAGAAATCGAATGTTGATTCTAAATAAAATTTTGAGCATAAGACTACAAAAAATTTTTTCCATAGAACAATGTCTTACAACTTTCAAAATTTATTCTGTTGACAAAGAAGAATTCTAAAGAGTATGGTGAAGACATATCCAGAATTCTGAAACTTTTTTTTTCAGATACTTCAAGATCTAGAAAATAACGGTATTTCCTCCATGTCATCTAAAAATGCTTAAGGCGTAATTCATTAACATTATACAGTACTTTCCTGCAGCAGTACTGTTAATGGCATTCAGAAACCATGTGTGAATTCTTCTGCAACTGTTTATAGCTGTACAGTTTGTCGTTATCTTTTCCTTATTTAATTTTACTAATGTTCAATTCACATATTAAGTAAAAAGTTTATTCCATTTATTTCAAAAGTGTTTCCTCTAATCGTAGTGATACTATCAAAAACATATTTTGTAATAATCAAGCAACTATTTAGAAGAAAAAAGCCATGTACAAAACAGAATCAACAAGACACATTTTTTTGTAATTCTTCAATAACAGCCAAATTCTTTGTTGTATATAATTTATCCATTTTATGTGAATATAACTAATCACCAAACAGCAGCAGCACTGTTGTCACTGTATTTTATACAGAAACCAAACAGTTTTGAAAAGCTTTTTTTTTTTTTTTCTAAATTAAAATTGTAAATTATTGTAATTGGTAAAAACAAAAAAAAAAATTTGCATTTTTTTTTGTGCTAATCTTACGAATTAAACGTGGTTAACAGTGGCTAAATATTATGATACGGTAGCTAAATCAAATTATTCACAGATACGGTTAAAAAAAAGCACAAAACATTCATCAGTCTTTTTTTTTTTTCCTTCTTATTTCAATAAGGAAGAAAAAGAATAGGATTTAATTGGCATTTTGTTAAAATATTCATCATTATTTGTTTGACTACTTAATTAGTAAAATTTTTGTTCCTACTGCTGCTGCTGCTGCTGTTGTTGTTTGGGTTTGAATAAATGAATCGACCAAAACCATTTATGGCTTTCGACAACACATTATTTTTTTAGTGTGTTTTAATCCACAGAGATAATAGTCAAAAAGAAAATGCTATTTCTTTTTCAGATTAACACTTTGTTTAAAAAAAAATTTCTTTAGTTTCAACGATTCTGGTATTTTGGTTGCCCAGTTTATATGCGGCAATAAACCAGTCAAAAAAAAAACAAACCAGCCTAATACAGGTAAAAAAATATTTATTCTTTTATGCTTATTCTTTTCTTTTCACCAC